CCCCTTTGTTTAGAGATCACCAGGGCTAAGCAAATGGGCCTCACATGCCCAGAAGAATCGCCAGCTCATCTCTGCTTGAATTAGATTCAATACAGGTCATTAGTTTGGGGTCAATCTGAGTAAAGGCCCAGAGGATGGAACACAACTAGCAAGTTGGCAAAATGATAAATACTTGTTATGAAGCTCAAATTAGGATTTGCAAACAGTTTGAAATGGAATCTGACAGCTCTTCCTATTTCAGTGAAGTGTGTAAACAAGAACAATCGCAGGTTATTTAGCTCCAGGTTATAACTGTCTTGCACATTAACTGACTTATTGTTAAATTGCTTTCAGCCGGCATGTGGGTGGCACGGGCAGCCGCCCAGGCCTAGGAGGGGTGGTTGTCTGTCTGCGGGCGGGTGGGCAGGTCTAGGCACGCGCGCATGCGATGACGGAGCTGCTCGGCTCTGTGCCGCTGAGGTGGCGCGGCACGTCTCACGCGTACACAGCGCTCCAAGGAAGTCGCAGGCTTCCAGACAACTGGCAAAGCAGTTACAGCTGTTCTGTGGAATTATGTTCTTTTTGAAGGTTTCAGCAGTTTAGGTGGAATGCTGGTTTAGGTGTGTGTGTGTGAATTGAGAGAGGGTGGGAGGGGGGGGGGAGAAGGGGAAGAAATTGAAACCCATTTTGCGGAGGTAGTGAACATGAGCCAGAGGAAATTTTCCAAGACGTACGTTCAGTTTACAAGAGATCATTTAAGGTCTCGGAGGCATCGCAGACTGACCGTGGTGGAAGTTTTGCAAAGCTCCCACTTTGACTAACAAATACAATTATGATCATTATGGTCACAAGATCCGCAGGCTGTACAAAAATTCTATGTGACTTATGTCATAAAATAATTTTAGACTTCTCCATTTCAAGATTACAAAAAACTATGCAGATTGTAAATATAACAAAATGCCGCATGTATGCCACCATGTTCCTCACTTTAAATTAAAACTGATTATACATTATAACTGAAATTTGTTTCTAATTTGATTTTTGTACTCTAAGCTTGACAGTGGTAGCATAATTCATCGTTGATAATACAGTGATAATACGTCAGTACATCCATTACCTTGGTTACGTCATGTGCTGCAGTTTGTTATTGAATTCATAAAGTCATTTTTTGTGGTATGTGATGCAAATACACAATTAACAAGACTACTGCCTACTGAATACACAATACTTACAAAAAATAATAATTGTTCAAACATTTCTTTGAGCATCACATTCTATATGGCCTACTTATTATTACTGATGTATGTGACACTGTGTAGTGTCTATTTTAGTTTTGTTGTGTATTTGTGAAATGTGCAGTCTCACAGACAATTTCCTTTGGGATAATAAAAGTTTTCTGATTCTGATTCTAAGGTCACTATCAAGGATATTTCCTTTCGGAAATAGCTGTACCCACTGAAAAGCAGAATTTAGTTCTTTTATACAGCTGGGGATTTCGGAAACCAAACGCAATTATATGAATAACAGCCGATCAGGGACCCGCTTACAACGGCAGCAGGACAGGAAGGCTGTATGACTTCTCTTAGCTCAAACTTGGCAGTTTCCTATGAGGTCAATGTGCGGACGTGTCAGCAGGCTCCGATACAAATGATAACAGCGGATGACACAATGCTTCTGTTATCAAAATGCGACAGTACAAAAAAAACAAACACAGTAAAAAATAATTAGCCTCTTATTCACACACCGTTTACTTTACGACTTCATGCGACTTCCGTGAATTGTCTGGCCTTTTTACTGGCCTTTTTGTTTGAAGACACTGACCCCTAGTGAAAACTTTGTGTACAATACACCATCGTTTACGATGTTCTTATACATATATGTTTCAGAGAACCTGAGGTATTTCACGTGACCTGCGTAGCCACAATGGCAGTGAGGGATGTGCTGTGTCAGATCTGCACAGGTTTGACACGACCTGAGCGACAGCGAATCAATCCACTGAACTATATCCGGTCGACTGGCTTTTTAATTAGTTTAATCCCTTCAGCATTTACGTAGCATGCATGTAATTTCTGGGCTGCTGTCACAGACAGTGGTGCCGTGTGGGACCTGTTTCCTCATTTAACCGACAGTTATACGCCAGTGATAAGTTTTTTTTCCCCCTGACCTAAATCGGCATTAAAGAGCAGCCGGACAGCCCTTTAAATTAATCTCTGATTAAATAAAACGTCACAATTCCATAAAAGGAATAGACGTTTATAATCATTTTGATTTTAAAAATGCTGAAAATGTTTCAATATTGAATTTGTAACATAACCTAACAGCCGCTTTTTAATAATACTGCCGTTTCATCGGGATTGTTTGTTCCCCCTGAATACTTCTCCATTCAGATCATTTAAGTTTCTCTTTCTGTTCAGATATCCGTGGTGGTGTACAAAACAAAAGACTCACATATAACACAGTCTGGGGTTCAACTCGGCTAAACGGAGAGAATGAGTTAGTGGCCCTTGTGACTGGCTGCCCAATTATTCACTTTTGTGGATGGGGGAGGGAGCAGTGCAATATAAATTGTCAGGAAGCTCATGAACCTTAACCAGAATGTCATGGGCGTCCATGGAGAGCCAAGGAGGATAGACAGGATCATCTGTGCGTATGGACTGGAAGAGCTCCTCCTCGTCGTGACCATGGAAAGGCGACTGGCCAATTAACATCTCGTACAGCAGGACCCCAAAAGACCACCAATCCACAGAGTACCCATATTTCTGCTCCAGCAGGATCTTGGGAGGGGGTCAGATAACATAGGTATTATTTCCTGCTGCTTGAACTTTTGGATTTCAATTCATACAAAAACAGTTCACAGTGTCTCAGCTTAAGCATCAATGTAATCTACGTGACTGTAGATCAGATAGCTGGCACGTCCATAAATGCATCCAGTTATAATAAACACATATACTGAAGGGTTGCAGTGGTCCTGGCTGCCTTCCCAGGAAGCGCAGTGCACTGTACACACTGGGCAGGATGCTGGACATTACAGGGCCCACACACATATCATGGCATTTTTTGTTTTTTGATTGCAGTCACAGATATGATTAAAATCGGTGGTTCCCACAACGTCAGAATAACAGGCATTTATCACACTGTGGGAACATCTGGTCCCCACACTGTAATTTATATCTGTGACTGCAATATAAAAACTAAAAATGCTGAAAGTCTTTATTTTCTTTATGGTTATTTATGGTTTAGGTTAGGCCAGGGTAGGGGTTAAGGTTGTCATTGGTGGGATTAGGGTTTTTTTCCATAGAAAAGAACAGACTTTCCTGACAAAGATGTGAATACAAACGTGTGTGACTGAAACTGAGATGCCTCATGAATCAGTGTAATTTGGTCAGTTGTAGTACTTCAGTAAATGTAAACTGTGATCTTCCTGTGAGTCAAATGGGACAAAATGATCACTGAGGAGATTATTGTACTGCCCCATGTGATCTTGAATTTGCCCTGTAGTCGTCTCTGTGCATTTGATCCCAGGACAGCTGACCTAATGAAGTGTGACTCTGCTCATCTTCATTTTTATCTGGTCTCTTAGGCTGTCTGGCTGCAGTGCTGTTCCAGTAACTGCCTTGAGCTGCTTCATCATTGTTCTAGAAGATTCTGTCCTGTCAGCCAACCGCTGACCCTCTAATTGAGCCTAAAGCAGTTAAAATATTCTTCTGTATCCAATGAACTAATGTGATTGCCCTTCAGCTGAATCTGGTAACTCGCAAGTCCATTTGATGCATTACTGCCCTCTGGTGGACAGCAATTACTGCAGCGGTATAGCAGACAGCGGGTTCTACCTCAGGGCTGGGGTGAAAATGTGTGGTTGGTGTCCTGTGGTAGATGTCATCTCTTTAACCTTGGGCCCAAAGCTTTCAGAGAGAGTCACCACCACCCATAGTATTACATTAGTGGTTAGATAGCTCAAAAGGTAACACGTTGCTCTCTATTGTTTCGTATTCATTTGACAAACTTCCAGGTTTCTTTATCTTTTGAACAGAAAAAAGCAGAACATTGTCTTTTGTGTTTTTGGCTGGCTGTGCTATTTCACAGCTTTGAGAGGCAGTTGCCCTATCATACAAATGGGTACAAGAATGACGAGAGAGACTTTTTTTCCAACAAATAGTAGATCTGATATGCTGCCTTTGTGTCAGCAACTCGCAACAAAATACACGGCCAAGAATGAACATTTAATCATCAGGGAAGCGTGGTATAGTGGCTTTGAAAATCCCTCTTGTGTCTGGTTGACCCTAACATTCCATGCATACATATTTTAAGATCACAATTTTAGGCAGCTCAGCTGACTTTTACAAAAAAAATATCGATTAAAAATACAACTAATATAGCCATGACGAAAGGGGTTTGAATGGGTCTCATTTCATGTTGAAATCAGAGGCAGGAACTGCAGTCTGAAGAAAGAAGTAAAATATTGATGCAATATGTTTCCTGTGAGACTGTTATTTATATGGTGGGTCATATTTTGAAAATAGCATCCATTTTTCCAGGGTTTAGAAGGCTGAAACAAATGCTGAATTATTCGGAAAAAAGGAGAATTACGACGGGAGTTTGCTAACCAGAAAAGAATCCTTATCCTGCTTACCTGTAAATACATAAACCACAGACATACGCAGACACAGCCGGAGTGCTTTTTGGACCGGTCAAGATTCACGTTTGGTCCTCCAAACACCAAAGAAAAGGGAAACACATGAGGATACTACAGAAAACAGGGGCACTCCCTCCACATAGTCTGCCGGGGTCTGAAGTCACAAGATACACCATGGTTGTATTGCAGGCTACAGCTCCATCTCGCTAAGTTAGATTGCCCTCGATCATAATGAAAGTACCAAATCTCTGCACGCACGGAACACCTGGATTAGTTACAGTTGTTTCTTTGGTGAAAGGCAAGGAATTCTTCAAGTGGGATCCATTGTTTTCTCGATGCTTCTTTCTAACCCCGAGTAGAACCTTGTATAACAGACCATCACACATTCCCAGTTTGAATCCATAACATTTTAATGCAGTACTACAGAGCTTTTGACCAACTGTGATACTTATGGCATATATGGAGATTAGAACTTGGGATCCACAAGGGTGAAAATTACTGAATTTTACCCGTGTTGCCCATATTGTGGTAGTTAAGTTGTGGGGTCACAAATGATAATTTCTCATTCCAATGCAATCAACACTGAAAATTCCTATTCGCCATTAATATTGTGCAAAACCTATTAGCAATTAGTCCAGAGGCTGGGTCTTGTACCCCAAGTTATTTACTCTCGCAATAAACTTTTCTCATCATTTCAGCAAATTTACTACTGCTGATTTCCTCTTCGACTTGAATCCATCATTCTCTTGTATCTCAGTGATTGATCACAGCTGATTACCTCATATTGATGTTGAGAGATGCCTGTGACAAAGGCACAGGCTCAAACGTGCCAGTGACATCGCTTATTAATGCCTTTCAGGGGCATTAATCAGGGGCCCTTGAAGCGCTCCATCCTAGGGGTGACGAAGGAGAAGTCGTGGAACATGGTCTGGTCCACGCTGTTAATTAGTGTGCGGTCCACACAGGAAAGTCGGGGCTTCTCGTTGATGAATTCTCGGTCAAAGTTACTGCAGTCATTTGGGGATTTCTGCAAATGAGGGAGATTGTGTCAGAATTTGCTTTTGGAGTGGACAGGAACCTGAAGCTGTACTTAGTGAGGACGTTCCACCTGACTTCTTCTGTCCTATCTAACTGGCCGAAGCTTTTCCGTTCATTTGAGTGAATTCTCTTCACCTACGGCTCCTCTTTCTTCTGGAGTCCCCCAAGTCTCTGTCCTGGGCCCTATACTCTTTTTACTGTATTTATTGCCACTGGGGTCTATATTCAGAAAATATAATATCGCCTTCCACTGTTTTGCAGATGATGTACAAATTTATCTGCCTCTACGTCTAAGCAGGAATGATTGTATTCAGCCTTTGATCGACTGCTTGAATGAGGTTAAATCTTGGATGAGCAGTAGTTTTTCAAACCTTATTGATAGTTAGACCGAGATTATTCTATTTGGCCATAAGTGTACTGATTGCTTTTCTGGTCTTTTGGACCCTCTTTCTCCTTATCTTCGCGCATCTGTTAAGAACCTAGGTTTGACCTTTGACAGTGCTTTTAAATTTGATAATCAGGTGAGCTCTGTCATAAAAACAGATTTGTATCAATTGAGACTTATAGCTGAGGTTAAAGGTTATCTCCCCCTTAAAGATCTCGAGAAGGTTATCCATGCTTTTATAACCTCCCGTTTGGATTATTGCAATTCATTATATTTTGGAACTGATCAATCACAAATTCATCTTCTGCAGTAAAAGGGCATGTTAGATCTGCCTCAACTCTGGAAACTTTTAAATCTTCTCTAAAGACAAAGATAAGATAAGATCTTTTCTCAATAGCATTTAATTTAGGATTAGTTGGCATAAAATGCTTTGAGTCTGTTGTTTTTCATTTTATGTTTCCTAATTATTATTTATTTTTTTTTACTGTTTTTAATGATATGAATCTATACAGCACTTTGGTCAATCTTGGTTGTTTGAAAGTGCTTTATAAATAAGCTTTGATTTGATTTGATTTATTATCTGTATTAATTGGCATATTATTTGTAATGGCACCTGGTCTTGACATTGAATCGGTGTTAATACCAGTAGGATTCTCCTGCTCGCAATGTGAGGGCGTGTCTCTGAGGGCATCCTTACCACAATTGGTCGAAATGGAGGCTCCACCTGCCGGCCCTCCAGCGCAGTCCAGTCCACATCCCGGAAGAAGCTGTGCTGCCGGATATTCCCTTTCACTCCCAGCCGGCGCTCTGGCTCCCGCACAAAGAGCTACAACCAATCATAGCACAGAATTTGACTCAGGCACTGCCCATTGTTTTTCTTTAAACCAATCACAGCAGGGCCAACAGTCAAGTGACAAGCATCTACTTAGTTGCCTGCAGTCAACTGGGATATCAGACAGCAGAATTCTGGAGGATAGCACTGCGAGTGACAGCCGACGAACCTTAACCAGAATGTCATGGGCGTCCATGGAGAGCCAAGGAGGATAGACAGGATCATCTGTGCGAATGGACTGGAAGAGCTCCTCCTCGTCGTGACCATGGAAAGGCGACTGGCCAATTAACATCTCGTACAGCAGGACCCCAAAAGACCACCAATCCACAGAGTACCCATATTTCTGCTCCAGCAGGATCTTGGGAGGGGGTCAGATAACATAGGTATTATTTCCTGCTGCTTGAACTTTTGGATTTCAATTCATACAAAAACAGTTCACAGTGTCTCAGCTTAAGTATCAATGTAATCTACGTGACTGTAGATCAGATAGCTGGCACGTCCATAAATGCATCCAGTTATAATAAACACATATACTGAAGGGTTGCAGTGGTCCTGGCTGCCTTCCCAGGAAGCGCAGTGCACTGTACACACTGGGCAGGATGCTGGACATTACAGGGCCAACACACATATCATGGCATTTTTAGTTTTTTGATTGCAGTCACAGATATGATTAAAATTGGTGGTTCCCACAATAACAGGAATAACAGGAATTTATCACACTGTGGGAACATCTGGTCCCCACACTGTAATTTATACGAAACCCATACACACACAACACACACACCACGCAGGGCAATTAAGAGACCCTAATCCACCTAACCCATATGTCTTTGCCTGGGAGAAAAACACAGGAAGAACATGCTTCACACAATGACAAGGCACTGACCTCGGGTGCGATGTAGTCTGGGGTCCCGCAGAAGGTGGACGTCCGGGCATCTCCATACATGCTCTCCTTACACATGCCAAAGTCAGCGATCTTGATGTGCCCGTCAGCATCCAGTAGCACATTGTCCAGTTTCAAGTCCCTATGGCAACAGAAACACAACATCACCATTGTGATCACCTCCAAAACCAACAATTAGGAGTAGGCTGCTGTCTCACTCTAGGCCTGTTCCAAGACCTCCTGCAGGTCTGTGTCTAACCTATGGAGAGTAGACACTGCTGGCCCAGCTACAATGAACCACGCAGCATACAACAAAGCTCCTAGATTCTCCCATTACCTGCTTGTTTACCTGTATATGATGCCTTTGGAGTGAAGGAACTGGAGACCACATATAATCTCAGCACCATAGAATCTGAAGCCCGGGGCCAGAAGGAGAAAGTGCACATTAGTGTCACCTCTAGATTAGTAAGATCAAAACCAGCAGCAGGCTCTGAAGTTGGAGACTGTACTTACATGGATCTTTGCAGGTCAAACTTTTGGCAGTTCTGTATGTGGAACATCAGGTCACCTCCATTCAAGTACTCCATTACAAAAAACAGATTTTCCTATAGGACAGGTAAACAGTAGTGAAGGACAAAATGACACTTCATGAACCAATTGCTGTATTTTTCGACCCTACATTCATAAAAGGGCACAGAGCATGACCCAAGGCAAACCAAGAGCACCATCTAGTGGGTTCAAAAAATACAGCAAATGGTTCTTCAAGTGTCTTTTTGTCCATCATTAGGTAAATAAATGTTAGTGAACCTGCTGTGCCTATACTTGGACAGTACATGCAGTCTTCTACACAGCTCTATCCTCCAGTAGTTGGCTTTATGAAGGATAAGGGTGGACAATGCAACATAAAGTGAGAGTAAAGCCTTGACCTTTCAGTTTCTTACCTTAGTCTGGAAGGTACAGTATAGGTGTGTGAGGAAAGGATGCTCCCAGGCTAGAGACAAAACCCTCCTTTCCACCATGGTGCACTCAACATCATCGTCCATCAGTACCACATCCTTCTTCAGGGCCTTTATTGCGAAGAACTGATTGTTCGGCTTGAGTTCAGCTAAAAACACCTACCAGTGTAGACAAGGAACCTATGTCATGCACTAACCTTCCATCCTGTTGACCATAAAAGCTAAAAGTACATTGTGCAGCAATGATAAAAAACTATTTCTACTGGAACCAGTACCACTGTAATATATCACTGCTTTAACACTCTTGCCAGTGTTCAATGTGCGGACCTTGCCAAAGCTGCCCTTCCCCAGCATCTTGTGCAGTGTGAAGTCGTCGATAGTGAACTTGTACGCCTCGTTCTTTGGTAAAACAGAGGGCGTCTCCTGGCCTTGTGGGGCGAATTGATCTCCCTCCATGGGTCTGTCCCAGAAGATGCCTGGGTAATCTTTGGGAAGCCAAAAATCTTTTTAGCACTTTATCACCAACACACTCGTAGCATGGACAGTGTTGCCAAGTGATACGGATTACTGGTAATTTGGTTAAAGATATTTATCATATAAGTGAAAATTTGAGCGTTCAGAAAGACGTGGTATTTCAAGACTCCTCTACCACGACCCCTGAACCCAGTACCCAGTGATACTCTCTACATACCTTTCCGGCTTGTAGATGGAGCCACAGATGATGATGTAGTGCCTGACGTCTCTAGGGGGCTTGCCTGTCCGGTCCCTGTGGGGCCACTCCCAAATATGTCAAATCCACGGGAGTTTCGGGCCTAAAGTATTAAGAGGGACCAAAGCAAGGTTTTACTTCAGCTGTCACAACAGCATCTGGTAGCAAGTAACAAGGTTTTTAATAACAGCTTTAATTACCAAACCTGGCCATTCATTATTAGCAAAAATAAAACCAAGGTTCAACATCAAAACAGGCATAATAACTTTTACTAGAGATGGACAAAATTACGTTTCATGAACCATTTGCTGTATTTTTATATCCCACTAGATGGTGCTCTTCATTTGTTTTGGGACATGTTCTGCACCCTTTTGAACAGTGAGCACTATTTAGTGGGGTCAAAAATACAGCAGATGGTTTACTAAGCTATTTTCTCCATCACTAATTCTGACCCGGAGCACAGGTGACAGTAAGGAGAGACCCAGAACAGCTTGCCGTTCTGCCTGTGTCATCTTCCTTGTATGACCCGCTCCCTGCCTTCTGGTTGCCTGGCGATTGGAGGGAGCGTTGGCACCGGCTTGTCAGCTCCCCCCTGCTCCCCGTTTGTGTCTCAAAATTTACTGTATCTGACTCTCCCTGCCGGCCCCTGGAGGATGGGCTCCCCCTTTGAGTCTGGTCCCTCCCAAGGTTTCTTCCTTCTAGGGAGTTTTTCCTTGCCACTGTCACCTATGGCTTACTCACTGGGGGCTTTGGGTGGGGATGCTGTAAAGCGCTTTGAGGCGATGTAATGTTGTGATAATGCGCTATACAAAAATAAATTTTTTGTTGTTGTTGTTGTTGTATGTCCTCCCAGTATAAGGGGAGGTCATGCCCAACACTCACCTGCTGGGTGATCCCAATGGTTTGAAGTGTCTCAGCCATCAGCTTTTGATTCACCCCACACAGGTTGGCCACTTTCATCTGGCACTTGTGATGCACATTCATTCCACACTCTGCAAGGATCACCATGTGACTGACTCTCAAGCCCAACCCAGCTGTCACCCATGGGTGAATAATATCATGACATGTCATTCGACTGACCTATCAGGTTCACACCTGAGGGTCTGTCTGATCAAATATGTGCAATGTCATGTGACATATTTTGTGACCAGGTCTCACCTTCACACTTGAGGCCCTGTTTAGCCAGACCCCACAGCAACGTTCCACAGTGCTGACAGAAACTGGGACTCTTGTAGTTGTACACTTTAAACCTGTGAGGCATGTCGATATTAAACCGCTCCTTGAGGTTCTGGTAGTACAAGAAAACATAATAACAGACTGTAAAAACATCTGTGACTAAGTAACAGGCAAGAAACCTTGGAAATTATACCTGGTTGTATTTGTTTAGCAGCGAATATGAATGACATCATTACATTTCTTTTCAGAAATCAGGCCGTAGGCACCATAGTGGTTCACAAAGCTAATTTTAGACCCTGAAGGGAATTTGTTCTGATCATTGTTAAAAAGTTGTGTTAAAGTGTCATTTTTCTTTTAATTAACCTACATTGTCAATTTTCTTGTTAACAGGCCTGCAATATACTTAGAATATAGCATCCAGAGTCATGATATCATCGCAATGACTACCAAGAGCACAAAGCATTTCAACTGAAGACTGATGCATCGTGGTCTGTATAGACTGCTACGAATCATCTTTCTGAGAGCCTAGCAAGCAGGGTGTGAAAAACAATCCCCCAGGCTGCCTGTGACAAGCACAGCATATAATAGGACTGCAGACCACAGATTATGTGACCTTTGGCTTCCCACATACTCCTGGGAAAAAGTGCATGAAAAAATCTCAACTCATTCATCACACATATCTAAGACATTTCAATTTCATTATAGCACCATGTCACCATGGAAACCACTGTCAAATGCATGCCTCTAGTTGTGCTGGCCCTGTGGTGACCGGTAACACTTCCCAGAGCTGCTCACCATGGTTTCATTTCTGTTGATGGCTGATCCTGTGCAAGTGGCGATCACTTTGTCAATACACTTCTTGTGTATGGCCACACTGCACTCTGAAAAGCCAGGGGGGAGGATGAAAGAGGGGGGAGTTATCGAGAGCACCAAGGAGGCTCTGCTGGCATGAGAGTAATGAGGGGGGCTGGTGGCACTCACGTTTACACTGGTAACCCTGCTTATTCAGGCCCCTGGGAGCAAACAACAACACAAAGGGTCAAATGTTCTGGGTGGCACAGTACAAACTATCAATTGTTTTTAACGTCAGGTGTAGGATTGGAGTTCTAAACAAGCTGTTATAGGAAGGTCAGAACTGTTCACAAAGGCTCACAAGCAGCTGATGGGAGTTTTACTTGCATCGAAATGTTCTAAGGGCAGAATGAGAAATGATTGGTTCAGAGAGATAACCAATCAGATTGTAGAGGAGGTGGGTCCAAGCAACTAGAGGAGGCAGGACCAACCAATCAGATGTCTTATTCCTGCCTCCTCTAATTGCTCAGACCAACCTCCTTTACAATATGACTGGTTAACTCTGTGAACCAATCATTTTTCGTTCTGCCCTCAGAACATTTGTGTGTAAGTAAAACTCACACAAGCTCACAAGCACTGGAGAGGGGTATTTGTAAGAGAATGTATTCGAGATTAAAACATAAATTCAACTTTGAATGAGTTTAAATCGTGTCAAAGAAATGACTCGCAATCAAAATCCCACATCACTTTTCATATCCCGATCCAAAAAGCTGGTTATGATAAAATGTAAAAAGATTGTAACTGATTTATCTTCAGTGAGACTAGGAGCAAAGGGGTAAGTCTGTATGTTTCGGTCACATGGTGCATGAAATAAAGGCCCACCATACAAACTCCTGGCAGACAGAGCAGAAGGTCGGTTGTGGGAAGAAGGTGGCTGTGAACTCGTGGCCCTTCACCATGTGGACCTTGGCCTGCTTGATGGCACCGCGTCGCTGGTGGAGAGTGAAGGGCCCTTCCTTAACCGCATCTACTTCATCCTCACCCTTGGTCTTCCCTGTAGCGTCTGGTCAAGAATTCAGCTTTGAGTGATGTGAGTTGTATATCACATGTGACCTTTCACACTGAGATAACAATGTTAAAGGAATAATTGTCTTCAAAAGTCTTTCTGATGCATGTCTACACTACTCTTGAAGAAGAAGATACAAAATAAGACAAGAAAGACATTTGATAAAGATGGATTACCAGAAAACAGCTCACTGACGCCTCGCTAGCATTTCAAACTCACCACTCTTCTCCAGGAAGTACCTGGCCTCCATCATCAAGCGACCCACTGGTTTCAGCTCCACCTGGTTTTGCAGAGGAAGTCAGATAAAATCCTGCTTACCATCTCTCCCCCTGTCACCTAGATCTTCAGCCAGCCCCCTGATACTCACCCAGATCTCCAGCTTGCCGTTCTCTTTCTTGCAGCGTGTAGCAAGGACGTCCAGCTGCATTGTGGCTTCAGACTTGAATTGCGCCATCTTGTCTGTGACCACCACATGCATGACACGGCCTTTGTGGATGTGGGCGTCAAATGTGCTGTTCCATCGTGGGAACATGGTGGGTTTGTTTTGCTTGTAAATCTGCCCCTTCTCTGTTTTCAAGGGTGTGGGGCATTGGGGAAAACAACTTGGGGTCATCAAATGTCAGATGTGGAATCCAGTCTTTAGGCATTCTCTACATAACCTTCATCAACCTTCATCACCCTCCCTGTCTGGATAGAAGCAGCATCCCAGTAATGCTGATGTAGAGATAAATTTTACTAAAGGGAACATTCATTAAGTAATGAACTCAAGAAAATATGGATTCAAATTTTAGGAATTTAAATTAAGGAATTAACCAACACACTCTTGATGCCTCAACATAGCATGTAGCAATGCAGTAGCAGTCTCAATTTTCAAAAGTTGTCTTCCTTCCTACGTCACACAATTTCTAATTTTCAGCCAGTCTCTCTGGCTTTTCAAATTACGGAGACACGGCCTTTGACGTCCTTGCTTATGCGATGTAGGTAAAACAGCCAATCAGCCATCTTGATGCAAATCACCTGACAAAGAGCTGATCATTGGGCCCACCTACATGCTAACTTTTAAAGTAAAGTGGTACCTCGGTTCTCGAACTCACTAGAACTCGAATTTCTTGAAAGTCGAACAAACCAGTTTCACCTAGAACTCGATCTGAATATCAGAAGTCGAACCGTGAACGCTGACGTAATATAAATTGTATGCGCCAGCAAATGAGTCATACTACAATGCAATTCTTACTTGAATGCTTTCTTCACACACTGGACGATTAACCAAATAAAGCAGCGCAACATTACAATTACTAACAATAAATAAACCACTAACTTACGTGTAGTATTAGAGTATTTGTCATTTATTTAAACTTTATTTTACTAGTTAAATTGAAAACCAGTTCTCACTGCTTTACGTGATATTCGGGAGAAATAGCAGATTACGCATCGGAACTGTCTGGGATACAAACGTCATGCGTGTAACTAAACTCTTCAGCCAATAACGGCACAGGCGTGTTGTCACGGAGTCGGTTCCCAGTTTGTGCAGCCGGGTGAAGGGTCGTAATGCATCTAAGCATAATGTATTGCGTCAGAATCAGAATACGTTGCTTTAAGCCAGCGCTGAAAGCAAGTCGAACGCAGCCAATGACCAGACTGGGGAAACAAACTGAAACGCGAACTTAATACAGAGGACTGAAAACAACAAGAACAGCTGATCACATGGGGATCCCACACGAGGTTAACGAGGGGGAGTGGCACACGGAAGGAGCGGACGATCAGAGCAGGACAGGGGTAATGTTGGGATAAGATCTTTATCGTTTTGGAAGCCATTAAGAAAAAAATGCTCATCTTGTTTTATCCTGTTCATTTTGTGTTTAAATGCTAAAAAAATCTAACTTTTTAGGATTCGGTCCGGAGTCCGGAACGGATTAAGTGTATCTACAATGTAACGCAGCTATTTGTGAAGATATATGTGTTTTCCAGGAAGAGCACTGAGGGAATCGCCGGAGAGTGGTAACGTCATTAATTAACAGTAGATGTCTATATCATAAGTTATAAAGTCTGAGAACTAAATGATAATATCCACTTGTGCATGAAAGCAAGAATGATGTTTATTTCTCAACCCTTTATTAACCTGTGGTCACCTCACCGCTTTACTGTGGCCATGGGCACAAACCAAGGCTCAGCTGTGATGTAGCACACACTCTGTTTTCATGACTTCATACCACAGTTGAAAGAAATGTGTTTTAGGTGAAGCTGTGACTGATTCACCCACGGTGCAAGACTGAATGTCTGCGTAAGCTTTGGAGATTTTCATCTAGTTTGGCCAACCTGTGTTCCCCTGGACAACCTTTTCTCAACCACAACCCTTAAGATTAGCATTTATTTCTTTTATTGTATCATCAGCTCTTTTACCAATAATAAGTACAAGAAAATTAGATCTGGACTAGGTCTATACGCAGGATGTAACACTGGAGGCTTCCAGAACCCCCTAAGGCCTCACCTGTCTCCACCACCTCCTTGATGTACACAACACAGTATGGCTTCAGCTTCTCTTCGTACTGCGCCACTCCCGGATCCATCTCAAAGTTCATGAAACTGATTCTCAGGAAGGGGGACATGATGCCGTCGTCACGACACAGCAACTTAGGAGCCTGCAAATCTGGATGGTGAATCAGAAAGAGAGAGGGACGGATTCATTCACTAAGAAGCTTCCCTTCCCACATGAAGGAAGCGGACTTGAGAGAGAGAGAGAGAGAGAGAGAGAGAGAGAGAGATAAGTGAAGATATATGCACCTAGAACGTAACAGAGGGAAAGCCAGAGAGATTTGGGAGAAAGAGAAAAAGAGAAGAGTGAACAAAAGAGGTAATAGAGAGAGAGAGAGAGAGAGAGAGAACAAAAACAATAGGAGAGTAGCTCAGGAGCACAAGAGCTTCCAGGCAGCAGATGCTCACAGAAGGTTCCCTGTCCTTCAGTGTGGAGTTCGGGCCTGAGCTCTGCAATAAAGAGCCTCCTCACAGCTTCCAGTGATGGGGCTGGTCAGCCGAATAACTTATGATTTGCGATAAAATGCTGTCCTGATGCCTCCCTCTTAGGTCATTTGCAATAAACACAAACAGACACACATACATATACAGCTACGCCTTTGCTGATGTTTCTTTGTCAACTTAACGCAGTTTATCATTCACATTCACTTTCTGTTCAATGTAAAAACATATTACCACAAAGAAACTAAGGTTACTAAAGGCACATCCTATGACTAATATATAGGCCTACATTTTAGATATTTTAAATTATTCTCATTCGTAAAAACAAAAATACCGATATTATGGCGCCCTGTTAATGGTGGATGTTGTTACAGTTTTGCAAAATTCTACCAAGGGAAACCGCACAGGCGATGCCCTAGCTGAGGAAACAGATTCCGCCTCCGAGGCTGTTCTCGCTGCAGATCTCACATACACACATTTTTTATCGCGGAGCGGAAAAGATGACTGGCTACGCGCATGCGACAGCAGCCTTTCCACGCCCGGAGCGCCGGGCCGGGGAGCGCCGGACACACGCGGCGGAGCTGCGGTGCGCGTCTGCGGGGGGGGTCCCGGAGCGGTCCCACCGGTACGCGCGTACACTGACGCGCATTTCCCATCTGCCAGTAATGTGATTCAAAAAGTTCCTGTTTCCAGGTGGTTTCTCTTAAGCGTATCTTATACAATACTCGCCAGAACTCGCGTAACCGGCAGAATAACAATAACGTTTTACATTATTGTATTGAAATAATTTTACATTATTTCAGGTCCATTGCATGATTGCATGATCTGGGTTTTATTCAAACATCACAGATATAAGAAACGCCTTTACCTTTTTCTCCTTCTTAGCCTCACGTTATTTTCAGTTTTCTGTCTTGAAAATGTCTTTTCGTAATTAGTCGGTAAGCAAAAACTTTTTTTTTTTTTTTAATTAAGCTGTATGTAAGAAATTCGATATGAGTGATAACGCTCGCATTTGCGAGACGAGTTGTTTGTTAACACTTCCGTCTGCTGGTAAATGACAGCTCGGTAACCACACTTCCTGTGTTTAGTTACGAAAAATGTCACAGGTGGATGTCACCTAACTGTCTTCAAATACCCCAAAGAGACAAAAAATGAGAACGTCCTTTTGAAAACTTTTCCAGTGTCTTTCAGTGTTATTCGTGGTCACATCTAACGTTTAAGTGCAACGTTGACTTTCAAAAAAATACTTAACATTACTTAAACGTGAAAAAATTTAAACCGTTCATGAGATTGAAATAAAAGCTACCAAACATTATTAAAACCCAGATTGATATATATTTACAGACGTACCAAACAATTTCAATATTAGGCTATTATATAACGACCTGTTACGTTCGACAAAACCATAGACCCATCCTTAGATCTTGTCGACAGTTCGATGGTCAAACGTTGCTTAATTTATAAATCTAACTGACGCAAATATGTATACTATGTTTCCAATTCCAATTTTTCCAAGTCACCAGCACCCGTTTTTAAGGGTCCTACTTATTTAATGGCAGGTTTCTAACAAACCTCCCACTCAGAAAGAAGAAATCTAAAGGTTCCTCTTTTATGATTCAATTTTAAGTCAGAATCACATTCCTGTGTATAGTTTCCAGTGTTGCCACATTTATTCTGACCTGCTGCTTTTAACATTAAGTTCTTATGTCTTTTGTTTCCCATGGCTTCTGGATCTGAAGACAATGAACATAAGGAATAGAAGACACAACATAACCTTTTATCTGTCAGGAGCTTGCAGGTCACCGCCTGCAACTATTACCCACTTTGCTATTTTTAATTATTTCAAGGTCCTCTATGTAAAATACTTATAAATTTGCATTTCCCCCCTTTTTTTCTCCAGGAGCTATTTTCAGTTCTGTCTCATGGTCAGCAGTAACTACCGAACTACTAATTCTGGTGTGATAAATCACCCGAAGACATATGATTACATGGCACAGTGCCTAAAACTGTTCTTGCCTCTTTCTGTCTTTGTAATTTTTTTTCATATTCCCACCTTCCTAGTGACATACGTATCGTTTGATTGGCCAAAGCAGCAGTCAATCGATGTCGCAACTCTGACAGCCCGTTTCTGAAAAAAAAAAAAAACTCACAGAGATGAAGTTTCGCTCTTCAGAAATCTCTCTTTAACTCCAATCGCGCACGGAATGAGAGACCATATCCTCTAGGTCAGGTCCAATATGACACTGTCTTGATCCAGCCTTAATCTGAGCAGAGTTACACCCATCCATCCCATAACTGCTTATCCAGTACTGGGTCAGAATGTAAACAAAGTCAATTTGAAAAGAAAAACACTTTATTCAGTAGTTTGGAGTCAAACAGAACATAAGCATTTAGTCATCCACAGTAATGTATATAGTCAGTGAGATGAAAATACTATACATTCAATGCATTGCAAGTTGATATAGCTTCACCACATGGATTGTGTACATCTACGCAAACATCATGCATGCATGGAGCATTTGTTTTTAATGGTGCTCACTGATCATCATTATGCCTGATAAATATTTGATCTATCACTTATGATCACCGTGTACTTTATTCACTCACTGTTCTTCTTTCATTGTAAACCTGTGTGCCTGTAATCAGAAGGTTGCCGGTTCAAACCCAGCCTCAGCATGTCTGTGGGTCCTTGAGCAAGGCCCTTAACCCCCAGCTTTCTGGGTGCCGCTATGGGTGGCTGCCCTTCGTGGGCATCTTACTCTACTAAGAGCAAGTTGAGGGAGGTGTAAAGACAATTTCCCCACGGGGATTAATAAAGTATCAATTATAATTTGTTGATGCAATAAATGCGCAACCAAAGCTGCTGCAGTTCCTTAGTCAGGAGGTGCCTGTGAACCATGCGGTAACAGAACTATGTACAACATATACAGCTTTTCATTCATTATGTTCTGCATAAGCTGTCTTTAAGGTCTTGTATAAACTTTATTGGTTTCACTGTATGCTTGCATGATTTTAAACAGCCAGACCTGTCTAACATCTCATGAATGGACTGTGGAACAGTTTCATGAGCTCAGAAATGCTGCTGGGTCTTCCTGCCCGAAGACCAAGTCTCCTGTCCTAAGGGTGCATGAAACCATACACTCCCAGGTGAACATTATTCCACCTCACACATTGTCCTCAGTCTCTTTAAACTTCAGAACCACTGCAGAGATTGCAATGTATTAGTTAAACCATTAATAATTTTGAAAAAGCTATACTCTCATATTACTTCAACTACATGACTGTGTTTCGCTATAATAAATCACAAATTAATAACCGTCCCCATGGTTATAAGTAGATAGTTTTGCATCTGATATATTTTTCCTGTATAGTTTGGGGGGGGGATCTATTTTTAGACAAAATACAGATGTTTAATTTAAAGTACTCCTTCTTCTTTGTAGAAAATGTTTAATTGTTATTTAAGAAAGGGGCTCACTCAGGTGAACAGTAAGATGACAAAGGACAGAATGTCACTTAAATCCATAAATTTCCTGACATTATTAAGCTAGTTACCAGTTCCGTCTACAGATAATCACGTCACCTGACACGGGCCCCCATTACAGAAACATAGTGTAGTATTACCGTGCACACCAGCGAAACCAAAATGTAAAATAAGTATGTTAAATACTGATATTACGTTAACTTATCATTAATAGATCGTGACGCCTATTTTGTCTCAAGCAGTTACTATATTTGTTACTATATCTGTTAGGTATGTAAACCTTTATGAACTACTGAAGGACCGTCACAAATAACACAAGTTAATTACTGATCTCATATGTGTTCATCATTAATGAATCATGATGCATCTTTCATCCAAAGCAGTTACTATATTTGTTACTATATCTGTTAATTTTGTAAATCTTTGTGAACTACTGAAGGAACAAGTAATGAACAACACATGCGAAATACTGATCTCATGATTGTTGATCATTATTCAATCTTGACGCATCTTCTATCTCAAGTAGCGACTATATTTGCGCATAATTTGTACTTCAGTAGTAACTGAGTTATTACTAAGTATTTGTGCCCCGTCAAGTAAAGTGTTACCGAAATTTCTAACCATAATCTAATAAATCTTTAAAGACAAATCTTAAAAATAGGCCTAAGCTTACCTTAAAAACAACTTCGGAAGAATAAAAGTCAGGAACAGCAATGAAACTCAAGTCGCCCTTGAGTAATCTTCCAGTTGCAGCATATTTTAGTGTTTTTCTCTGGTGCTAGCGATGCACCCCTCGGTTTAACTGTCGTAGCGGTAACTCGACCTCAGGTCTGCGCAGCCCCGCCTCCCCGAAGGAGAATGCGGTGACAGTTTGTACGCTTTAATCCACAGCGTCACGTTCAACAGGTAGCTATGATTTTGTAATCAGATACAGGACCTTTGATAAAGGTGACAGAACTGTTATTTTAAAAAATATTTGGGAACACTCTAGTTTGTTAATATTTGTCATGGTATTCAGAATCCCTCTTGCATATTCTCTAAACAGATCAATAAATGAACGGTTCGCGAGGACCCGTGCGGGTACCAAAAGATAAGGCGGGGGTGTGGGACTGCCTCTTTTGCGCCTGAAAGTCTTCTGATGTTATATCGCCAAACGGAAAGTTCCGCCCTCGTACTATGATGTAGATGCCATGTACGCCGACGCAGTAGAAAATGTCAACACACACAGGTTTTCTCAACGCTGAACTGGCCTGGCGTCTAAGTGCTGCTGGATCTGCTTCTTGGTTGAAGGGCTTTTCAGAAAGTTTACTATGAACTTTCTATATTTATTTGAAAATATGAATGTTGCGTTGACTTTTGTCATGTTGTAATAATGTGTAATTACTGCCATTTTCTTTTCATAGGAAGTCATATAGTCATAAGAGTAACCGCTGCATCTTAGCATTCGAGATTTAATCAGCTCCACCTAAATTATGATTCAGTTTTATATCAGTTCAATTTAGTTTAATATAGCGCTTTTAACAACAGAGTCGCCCGAGGCGCTTTACACTGGGTGTGTCGTGATTCAACATCCTTAACACAGAATAATACAAAAACAGGAAAAAGGCAGCACAGAAAAATGACAATAAAAACAGTCTTCGTTTTGTACTGTGTGTCATATGTGCATAAAGGTCACTGGTGCATTTATTTGTACCAATTTATTTTTCATTACACATCTTCCAAACCCTGTTCAAGTTCGTGGTGTGTGTGTGTGGGGGGGGGGGGTTTCCCACAAAAATAATACAACTACAGAAAGAAAGTGATGGAGGAATTTGTCTGAAAAACATAAATGTCTTTTCATAGGTTTTCCTCATTTAAGTGGAATTACACATACTTTATGTGGAACATTTACATTGACTTGTAACATGGCCTAATTAAAGGTGTAAAGAGATTTGAGGCCTTGGTCTGTACAACCTTGTATAAAGCTTCATAAGAGTATTTATACTGTAAATACATTCCCTTTGTGGTGCAGACATGTAAGGGCAGCATGTAGCTCAGTGGGCTAAGACCCTGTGTCTGTCATTAGAAGGCTGCTGGTTTGAGCCCAGTCTCTGCGTAATAGTCATACAGTATCTATGGGCAACTGCTGAGCTTGTGCTTACCTCCATGTTTGTGATGGAGAGCAAGGTGTGGTAGGTGAGAAAAGAATCTCCCCACAGAGATCAACAAAGTCTCTTCATTACAAACGATGAACATTCTGGATACATGAATGAACTCATAGAAGCACTAGTCAACTCAGTTCGGAATAAGTTAACGGCGTGCTGTTTAATCCAGTTAATACGAACCCAATGCAGTTTATTGATCCTTGTGCGTGCAGCAGCAAAAACGTACATTAACTTACATGTAATGACAAATGGACAGGGTGTAAAGACAGTGCCAACAAGTAATCATAGGGAGGTAAAGTACAGAGAGTATGCAGCACTGAGAAAAAGGACATTGTGATACTACAGAAATATTTAAAGATACGAATAATAAATTAGCAGATGTGTGTCTGCAATTATAACAAATAGAGCTGGACCTTTACTGTAAGGAGAGAGGATGTTTCCTGTTATGGCTGGGGGGGGACAAGGCAATTGGTGTCTGGCTGTAACAGACAGGAAGGATCCCCAGTAGCATTTTTTAGCGCATCGTGGTGGAATGAACCGCTGGCTAAATGTGCTCCAGCATAGCGCCCCCTGAAGCCCACGGGCAGAATTGTTCACTGTATTGTCCATTTTTGCCAGCA